GGAAAAATACAAGTGTTAGTGGTTAGCCATCCAAAAGTTAGTCGTCTAGAGGGTTAGTCGTCCGAGATTGCCTAAAGAATTTTTCTAATCAATATTTTGGCATGACTTCCACCTTAATTCTTTTTAATTTTCTCTCTTGATTTGGACAACACTACCACTCTTTCTTGCTCAAATTTAACAGCACCTCTCTCTCTTTCTCAAGATTTTAGTAACACTTTCACTCTCAACTTTGTTACTCTTTTCTCTTACTCCAAAACTACTTCTACTAAGGGAAATTCAACTATGAATTTGAGAACTAGAATTTTGAACTCAGGAAGCTAGATTGCAGTGGAGATGGGTGAGTGAATGAGCCTGGAAGGGAGGTATTTATAGGAGGGAGAGTAGCAGGCCGGCCAGCCTAGTGGTGGGGCCAGCTAGCCCCACATCATGGCCAAATGGCCTCTCCATTTTCCTAGTGCTTCTTTGCTTCATGGTTAAATATATTGGGTGCTCCTTTCAGTGGAAGTGGATCCTGGATGGCCCAGAGTGAAGGAGAGTGGAAATGGTGGAGATATGAAGATGATAATGGAGGTTGAGTGGAGATGGAGGTGGGCCCCCATGTGTCTGTGGGTCCCAGTGCCCGTATTTCTACTGTATATGCATGTATAAATTTGCAATGCAAAAATATTTTACGATACTATGAAATATAAGAAGATGAATGATGGTATTTTTAAATTTTTATGCCTTCATGAGAAATATTTCTTATGGGGCTTTTACGCTCTGTAAAAATTATTTACATGGGGCTTTAATTTTTATAATGCCATGATGAGAATTTTTATTTTAGTTTTCTAATGCAAGTATTGAAACGTAAATATGCAAAAGCATAAAAAGTAAATATGGATAACTACCGAGTTACCTCCCGGCGAGGGTTTAGAATTTTGAGTCCACCGAACCGGACTTCTCCGTTCGCGTTTATTCTTCAGGTGCGTCCTTCTGTCCTTGAGATGGAGACCTTGATGGATGGACTTATTTCTTACACCATTCCAAATTAGAGCATTGTTTTGGTCTTGGCTTGAAGGCAAATCGCTCTTCCTTGCCATTAATATGGAATTTGATTTCTCCGGCTCTGACATCAATGTGAGCATTTGTAGTACTCAGGAAGGGTCTCCTAAGTATGAGGGGTGACTTCATGTCCTCCTGCATGTCAAGTACTACAAAATTCACAGGAACAAAGAAGTTTCATATTTTTACCGGAATATTCTCGATGATTCCTGTAGGGTAGCAGACCTATTGGTCAGCTAGTTGCAAACACATCGATGTTGGTGTGAGCGTTGAATAGTTGAGCTTGTCGAAGACCTTCTTTGGCATGACACTAACGCTTGCTCCAAGATTGCATAACGCGTTCTCAAAGTTCTAGCTTCCGATCGAACAATCGATAGTGGGACACCCCAGATCCTTCTTCTTGATAGGTGATGTGCTTAGGATGTCCGCACTACACTCCTCCGTCAACTTGATTACTTCAGTGGTGGGCAGTGGTCTTTTGTTGTTGAGGATGTCTCAGAGATACTTTGCATAGGTGGGTACCTGTATGGCATCTAGTAGAGGAATATTGATATATAACTTTTGAATTACCTCAATAAACTTACCAAAATGCTCATCCATTTTGGCTTTTTGATTTCTGCGTGGACACGGTAGGAAAGTAGTGTCATAAAAATCTTGTTTGTAATTCTTGCTCTTGTGGATCAACTTCTTCAACTTCATCGTTTCTCTTCTCCTCTTCCTGTATTACCACTTGTGTCTTACCTATCCTTGTTGGATACGGCGGATCACGAGTAGACTTGCCACCTCTTGTGGTTATAGCGTTGAACTTTTCAAGGTTAGTAGCAAACGGTAGAGCAGCGGCCAACTACGCCAATTGAGATTATATCTTTTTATTATAGCTAAGTTGGTCTTTTATGGCAGAAGAAAAACTATCTATTTTAGTATTTATGTTTTCTAGGACCTTATCATTAAAAGCAAGATTTTTAGAAATATTATCTTTAATCCTAGTTTGTTTTAAGATTAAGTCTCTTAAGGATGGTTACTTGGGATTAAGGGCCTGCTTGATGCTGTCTAAAATTCGCCTGGCCAAACCCATGGCAGTCCCAAAACTTTGGCGCTCATTTGGTTTGAAACCAAAGAATTGGCGTGCCGAACCTTCCAGCCAAATCGGCGGTGGACACGAGACATCCAGCGCCAATACTTTGGCTGCCTTCACCGCACTCCTATTGCCCTCGTTATTTTGCAGTATCACCCTCCCACCGGCACAGTAGCCACCACTTCCCACTAATTCTCTTCTTCTCCATTGTCACTTTTCACGGCCACCGCCGCTTATCTCCTCTGTCGCCTGTGCTAGTCCCGAAGCTCCACCAGCCCATCACTTGTTCCTATCGTAGATTAAAGGGACATATCCTTTCATCCCTACCTTCATAACAGATCCCTTAATCTGTTGGGGAACAAGAAGCATCTTCCCTCATCTAGTGGCCTCTCATCTCTGATTAATCCATCTATTCCTACTAGCAGTGTTTTACTCCTTCAATCCTCCATCCATTTTCTAGGTATGAGTTTCCAATCTATCATCCGTTTATAGATCTGCTGCAACAAAGTGCAGAGGAAAACGTACCAGAACGCAATCGCCCCAGCTAGATCCATTGGTCCACTCCTAGAGGTAAAATCTTTCAAATCGAGTTCCTTTGGTCTCTCTCTGAGTCTCTGCATAGCTACAGTCTTACAGCAAGTTACTATGATTGTAGTTGTTGCTCCTCAGATTCCCAACTGCATAAGCCCATTGCATATTCCTCTTTTAAGATTTCAGCATTATTTATGATGGTTAAACACTTCACCTTGCCCATTAAAAAAATCTAGATATAACTAACAATTGTTTGATGCTTCACGATGGTGTGTGTTAGTTCAAATCACTTTAGTTTGGTTGCATATGTTAGTTTCAGTTAAACCGGCCTGTTCACTAAAGTAATATAATTTATTGGCTACTATACATGCCAAAGTACTACTTCATTTGCCATCTATGCTTGTGCACATCAAAAGTTATTTTAATTTACTTGCTGCTGATACATGCTTTGCATTTTATTTTTCATTTTTTGTTCCTGCACATTGCCTACACGCCTACACCTTGATTGGCAATATTCAGCAAAAATTCCTCTGTTGCTGTATGTCGAGGCAAAAGGCCCTAGCTTTTCTTGTTCTACTGCTGGCCTTGTGGTGGAGGTACAAAAATCACAAGAGGAGTACAACCAAACGCATAAAGTATGCTCCACTGGCGTAGAGGGATATATGGCGTAGTAGTGAGCTAATTAGGTTGCTTGATACCTCGGACAGAATATGTATGCAAGAGCTTAGGATGTCCTAGCCTGTATTCTACAAGCTTTGTGCTCGGCTTAGGGAGAGGGGGCTAATAGTTGACACACTTCATGTTTTAGTAGAGGAGTAGCTGGCAATGTTTATGAAGATTGTTTGGCAATACTACACACATTCCTCTGTAGCAATAGCAATGTGGAGATTAGGATGGATAGTGAGTACGTACTTTAATGCTGTCCTGCGTGCCATTGTCAAGCTAGCTCCTGAGCTAATTTATGTGAGATCTATATCCACACACCCAAAGATCACTGAGAGTCCTAACAGATTCTATCCATATTTTGAGGTAACTCTCAATAGTGTAAGCGATATAATTTTTATATGCAATTTTAGATATATAAGTGCTTTGACATGTGTTTGTCTCTATACATAGGGTTGTATAGGGGCACTAGATGGCACTCACATCAAGGCATGTGTGCCTGCTAAATCTGCGGATAGGTTTAGGGGCCGCAAGTCATACCCCACACAAAATGTCCTAGCAGTTGTCGACTTTGACCTACACTTTACTTATGTCCTAGCAGGGTGGGAGGGATCTGCTCATGATTCTCTTGTGCTGCAAGACTCCCTTTCTCGTCCAAACGGACTTAAAATTCCTGAAGGTATTCATGGATTTTCATGGATTTTGAAAATTCTTACATAGTCTCACCGTTATGACATGACATTAGGCATTATGTTAACTTTGGTTGTAGGGAAGTTCTATTTGGCCGATGCTGGATATGCCACTAGGCCAGGCATATTACCGCCCTACCGTGGAGTTTGTTATCACCTAAAAGAGTTTCACAGAGCCCAAGACCCAAAATGTCCAAAAGAGCTTTTCAATCACCGTCAGTCCCAACTTAGGACAACAGTTGAACGAGCATTTGGTGCTCTCAAGAATCGCTTCAAGATTCTTAGCAACAAGCCATTCATACCCTTGAAGTCATAGGCCAAGGTGGTCATTGCCTGATGTGCCCTTCATAATTGGATACTAGACGATGGACCTGATGAGTTCATATATGATGAGCCAACTTGGTACAATCACCTACCAAGGAGTAAGAATCATGTCTCCGATCGATAGGCTGATGTACATGAGTGGGCTGTGAAGCGTGATTCAATTGCCCAGCAGATGTGGAATGATAGACTAAATAACGATGTTATCATTGACAATTAGTTAGTACTTGCTGGTGTCCTTTGGTTTTGTGTAGTTTGGTGGGTGTGCAATCAACTTTAGACTGTATTGCTGCTTGTAAGCGTGTAAATAATATTAATGTTTTGCTTAATGAATTACCTTTCTTTCTGTCTTACCAAAACATCATTTATTATATGTTTAATAATGTTTATTACTTACTTTTAAAATTTGTTCTTAGCATGGGTAAGGAAAAGAAAGATGGGAATGCAGATGCTGGATCTCGTTAGAAGTACAAAACATGGACCGATGACAGCACCGAGTTCATGCTTCAATGGTATATTGACTACCTAAAGGAAAACCTGCTACCTCTACGTGGAAGCAACGCCACCACCATACGTGCGCAGAAGCTTTAAATGCTAGATTTGGACTTGGAACTACCACACAGCAAGTTGATCGCCATTTCAGGGCATTCAAGGAGAAGTGGAATTGGATAAAAGTAGCTATGGACAAGAGTGGCTATGGTTTTGATGCAAGATCATGTAATTCACTACTTAGAGAAATCACCTTCCAAGCTTGGGGTAAGTGTATCCGCTACATACTTGTACGTTTACTTTTCCATATAATCTGTGTAGACTCCAAGATTACTAGGCTCACTTGTTAATAATTATTGCAGCCTGGAAAATACAACTATCTTACTTGACCTATTAAATTTTTCCATCTTATGGAAGAGCTATTTGGAGAACCTGCCAAAGCTAATGGATCCTTGGCTGTTGACCAGTGGACTGTGGATGCTGAAGATGATAATAATAATGGATCAGGGAGTGATGAAGCATATACTCCTGAACATGCTGAGAATGATTCAGACACTATTGCTCCTAGATACCCACCACTTGTAGGCTCTAGTTTCAGCATTAAACGAAAGAATAAGTCATCGCCTTGGAAGAAGCATGTAAAGGATAAAGCAAAACGTGCTAGAACAACAGGGGATGATGAAATAGCTAGAAGTATTGCCATGCTTGCCAAATCCATTGCATCAAGTTGCCCTGCAACTATAGATCCGTATGCTGATCTTTGGAAGCGTATTGAGGATATCCCTTTCCCACCAAGGGACAAAGGTTGACATTGCGACCTATCTTTCAAAGCCGGAGCAGGTTCATTTGTGGAACTACTTGAATGTTGTATTAGACCAGTCATTTGGAACTTGGGTCACCGATTACCTAGGTGCCAAGTATCGTGTTACAGGTGTGGATGATGGTGAGTATGGTAGCTCCATGTGAATATGGATGCTCAGACTTTTGGTGGAAGTGGGTATGCTGTGAATATGGTAGCTGTATGTGACTATGGGTGCTGAGACTTGTGGTATTTTGGCCATGCTTCAAGTGGAAAGCATATGGATGCACTGGCTAACTGGTGTTATTTTGGGTATTTTGGACGTGCTCTGGTGTTATTTTGGGTATTTTGGACGTGCTTCATGTCGTCAGTATATGAAGTTGCTTATATGGTTAGGATTTTAGTACCTCGTGGTACTATTTTAGCACAATGGATATTATGTTGTGGTCTTGTTAGATGAAGATGGGTGTATATGATGATATGTACATGCACATAATATAGTAATATGTTATCTGGACTTAATCTTCTATGCATACTGTGATTATTAGATAATTGTATGCATTGGGTATTGAATCATGGACATTGGCATATATATTTTGGCATCAAACCAATCAAGATCCAAAATTTTGGCTGTTCCAGTTTGGCGCCCAACCAAGTGCTATACCAAAATTTTTGCCAACGTTTTGGCAACCAAATTTAGCATGCCCTAGTTTTGGCTTGCCCTAATTTTGGTAGGGTAGCTTTTGGCTCTGAACCAAGTAGGCCCTAAAAGAATTATAATTGTTACCTAGGTACTTACCTTGGTAAGTTGACCGTTGTTGTTGATTCCATCCTTGTCTCTGTTGTTGTGGACCTAAATTGTTGCCAATGATGTTTACATCCTCTTGATATTCAGGGAATTCAACCCCCAAATATTCTCCACATGTGTTTTGAGCATTGAAAGCATCTTGAATGGACTGACGATCTCTCTTGTAATTGTCTCGCTGTTCGAGCCAATTTAATAGTATGTCCATCTTGGTTGACAGTGGACACACCTCTTTTGGTACTTCTTCACTGTTATTGCATGATTGAATGTTGCATTGAGACCATCCTTGATTAGAGGCTATCTTTTCCATAAGAGTTTTAGCTTTTCCAAGGGTGAGTGACATAAATGATCCTCTAGCAGTGGCATCTAGTTGCTCATGAGCTTTTTGAGTTAATCCATGGTAGAAACTTTACATGAGCAACCAATATTCCATTCCATGATGAGGACAATCTGAAACATATTCTTGGAAATGTTCCCATGCTTCTGGAATGGTCTCTTCGTTCTGCTATTGGAAATTGGAAATCTTTCCTCTTAAGGCATTGACCTTGCCTACAGGGAAGAATTTTTCTAAAAAGGCCTTCGAACATTTTGCCCATGTACTGATGTTATCTTTGTTGGTGTAGAACCATTGCTTTACCTTTCCCACTAGTGAGAATGGAAACAAGTGAAGTAGTATGATGTCTTGAGCAACATCCTTGATGACGATTGTGCTACTGATCTCTAGAAAATTCTAAAGATGAGCACTAGCATCTTCATATGCCTTTCCGCTGAATGGGGTAGCTTGCACCATGTTGATGAGGCTTGGCTTGAGCTCGAACTCAAGGTTATTGGTTTTGAGTGTTGGTCCAGTATAGATGTTCTTGGTTCTTAGAGCAGAGAACTCATGCAGAGTCTTGTTAGCCATAGCTTTAGAAACTGGTGTTGAGCTTCCTTTTCGATTTGGTTGATTCTGATTGGAAGTTGTTGATGGATCTCAACCAATTCTGCAATACCTTGTATTATATATGGACAATGACAAACAAGGGTAAGCCTACTAAGGCAGAGTTGTTATGATTTTATCAATAAGCATTTATTTGATCAATTCTCTTAGCCATGTGCCCCTCCCCGGCAACGGTGCTAGAAATGCTTGTTGACATTTCTTAGCATCACTTTTTACTAAGTTGTCATCCCTAGCATGATGCTAGAAATGTGTGATTGGTAATTATTAATGACACTTGTAAACTCAAAGGAAATTATATATGTTAAAGTAAAGTATCCGCAAGCACACAGATAATATACCATTGTAGCATTTCACCCAGAAGTATACCGAGTATCGTTATTTATATTTTATCCATAGGGAGGAGCTATGGGATTGTTGGCATAGAGATATTGACAAATATGTATACTTATGATAAAACCACTCTGATGCTATGGCAGGGGTAAGCCAAATGATAAATAAATGATAAGTGTGAAGCATTGATAGTAATTATAGAAATAGAGATAGAGACTCTTAAAAATGTGGTATGGCTAGGTAGGAGATTCGGTAAGAAAAAGATTCCTAAGTCATTCCTTATTTACTAAGTCTTTTGTACACCCAAGTGTATACACTCTCATCTATAGCATAATTAACTTTGGATCTATGCATAAGGAACATTACTAAGGAAGATCAAGAACAGAGCTTGCTCCCTTTGCAATCGTGTTCTACTTGCTCTACAAACGGGGAGTGGACTACAAAGGACTCAACGGGAGTGTCACATCCATGATCTACCACATGACCTAGAATGCAGAATGCATCCATAGGTAAACAATATCTAAGCACCATGCTTACATAATGTCGACCACTTAACCCACGCGCGTCTTGGGTTAAGCGCTTTGCGAACATATGCATAAACTCATCATTAATCACAACTATATCAAGCATATAACTAGAGCAAACTAGGAACATAGTAAATAGCAACGTAATATTGAAGTAGCACAAAGTCAAACAGAAAGAGATACAATGGCTATAATAGTCTCTAGACGGCAGATCCGCAATCCTAAGCAATAGCCCACACTTTACTTGAACCTTGCTAGCTAGCCTATACTAGAACTTTGAAGAATTGGAGCTCTATTCTCTTCTCTCTAGAAACACTAATTTTTGATCTAATCTTGACTTATGGTAGCTTCTCCGGAGGGGGGGGGGCAGGGGCTGGTTATATAGGCCAGAGCGTCAATCCTAAGCCCTCGGATCAAACCGACTTGAATAAACAACGTAGATGCAATCTAGATGGCGGTGGAGGAACTGACGTCAAAGCGGAGGCTAACATGTGGGACCAGGGGGCTGATAGGCCTATAGGTGGGGCCGGCCGGCCCCACCTATCATCCCTATAACTGAACCATCCAATTTATAAGAGCACAAGTACAATAGCAATCACCGAAGCGATAAAACCGTCATACTTGAGCCCGTATAAACCCGGTAGTCCGATGAAATCACAAAGGATTTCAAACAAACCAATGTACAAACCAAGATCGTACATGATTCAACATAACCAGTCACATGTTACATCATAGTTCACAAATAGTTCACAAATATCTCACAAACATCGGAGTTCACATAGTTATTACAAACCAAGTTTAAATAGCGGAAGCAAAGTAGTTTGACATCAACATCACACTTAGTTCAAATACATGCCAGTACCATGGTCATTTCTAGCAAAAGTAGAATAGAGGGGATAACTTAGGAATACCATGCCCCATGGTTTAGTCCTCATCGATGGTAGGATGAAGGCAGTTCTTACAGTACCCATGATACATCATGTCATCTGCAACAAGAGGGAATAAACCCTGAGTACGAGAATGTACTCAACTAGACTTACCCGTCATAAACCAGAAATAATATGACACCAAGGAGTATGCAAGGTTTTATTGGTGAAGTTAGCTTGACAACATTTTGCTTAAAAGCTTAAGTAATATAACTTGGAGATTTAGTATCTCTAGCATCAATTTGAATACCTATTCAATTAAGCATCTCTAGATCAGCACTTGTTCTACAGTATCACTTGATTAAGCTAACAAGCATTAGTAACCATATCCGGTATAAGGATAAGTTGAGCATCATGATAACCATCAAGTTTCTCTTTAAGTTACTCTACGTTGCCACTGTTTAGTCAAGTTCTCACTATCCGGGAGAGACGACGATTCGAATCGCTTCCTACCTAGCTAGGGAATTATTCCTAACACAAACCCATACTTCCCTATCGGGGTCACATCGGGTCACCTTTAGTACAACTCAGGAACCAACTTCGTGAGTCTGATTAGTGCTGCACCCTCAGAGATTCTACTAGTCTGCAAGGAAGTTCAGGCATGGCCTGCCCTTGGACTCACACCACTTGCTGTCTGCACATCCTTACTACCTCTAGTGTGCACACTTTCACTTACCAGGGCCCGGCCTGAATTGAGTTACTCGGCTTCGTGGTTGGAATGACTTATCTGGCCAACTAAGTGTTAGGCATGCATTCAACATGACATGAGGAGGTACAGCAAATCGGTCCTTAACTGACACAGATGGGGATAAATAAGCACCAAGACCTCCATGCCTTGTGCTTCTCTATCACAATCCCGCCCGGTCTCCTTTTTATTCTTCAACACATGGTTATTTCCACGATAGCAATTATAGCCAACCGTGATCAGTTATCTACCTATATCTTGCAGGTGACAGGAAATCACCCAACTTCTACTGAACTAAGCAAGGCTAAGCATATATTCAATCCTAGACCTACCAAGGATTTAAGATATATTTGTCTAGACAAGGAGAATATATGCAGCAAGTGTTTCCAATCAACTCATATAACTTAATGCATCAAACATAAAGGACGCAAGTGATATTTGTAAAGACATAGGAGGCTTATAATGCTTTGGGGCTTGCCTTTCAAGAACAAGGATGGTTGGTGGTTAGGACGCTCAGGGAGATCTTCAACGTTGGCTCCTTCTGCTTGAACTTCCTAGTCCTGGGCTGCCTGCTGCTCCTCCTAATGCTCGGGTTCAAACTCATGGAGTGTCACTCCTTCTGGGGAACCTATTACATGCATATGCACAATGAGTATCATGAATACATAAGAGATGAGATGATAAATTGTATATGCATGAGCATGGTTATCCACAAGAGGTATGATAAGGCTAACATTCATTGACCAAGTAGATGTATAACCTTCTTCTAGTTGACCTTTACTGAGTAGGTGCATATCTCT